ATGCCCGGGATCCGAACCTTTGAACCTGGGCCGCTGCAGCGGAGCACGCAAACTTAACTGCTGTGCCACCAGGCTGGCCCCTGTAATTTGAAATTTTAACAATGATAATGAATTAATTTGTAACTATAAGAAAAATTTTATTTTGTTTTTTTGCCTTTTATGAGGAAGGTCGGCCCTGAGCTAACATCCATGCCAATCCTCCTCTTTTTGCTGAGGAAGACTGGTCCTGAGCTAACATCTGTGCCGATCTTCCTCCACTTTTACGTGGGACACCGCCACAGCATGGCCTGACAAGAGGTGTGTCGGTGCGCGCCCAGGATCCGAACCCGGGCCGCCAGCAGCAGAGTGTGTGCACTTAACCGCCATGCCACGGAGCCGGCCCAGAAAAATTTTAAAAATGAAACTTAAGTGGCATTGTAGATGGATTTTGATTCAAAAATTATAAAATTTAGAGAATGAATCTGAACACTTAACACTGATAAATCACAGTGTCCAGGGTCTCATAATATTGAAGTTGTCAAGTGAAAAAATATGTAAAAGTAAAATTTCTTATTCATCAGAACATAAATTCAACTAGGCATAGGAAATTTAATGATTTGATTAGTCAGCTAAATTGCATTGTTTTCATTTCAATAAGGTTTCATTTACTTACAACTAGATTGCTTTCAACCAGGTATGTCAAGTCCGTGATCCAGGTTGTGTCTGAATATTTTGTTAAGGTGCTCATAAGTGCTTTTATGTCATTGACTTTTAAGTTGCCTTTTTCTGAGAATGGTGCCTATAGGTGCAAGCATCTGCTCCAGTTAGGGAGGTATTTATTCCAAGTATATTCCATTAATAAGAAAACTTACACTTTGGAAGCACGTGCTGATTTGGGAGTAGAAAATTTCCTGTGCTCCATACAACTACTGTGTGTGCTATTGGAGCAATTACTGAAGAGTGGTGGAGAATTGATCTTTAGGCTTCTGTAGTTACTTTAAGCAGAACTGTTTATTGGGAGGTTTGATAAGACAAGTCAAAGACCCGAAATAGGGATCAATCTAGTGATTTTTATTCAAATAAGCACCATTTTGAGTTATGAGTGCCTCCCTCGTAAACATCCGCTACATACCTGATTGGCTGGTTATTTGGCATTATATTTTCCCAGCGATCCCATGATTACAGATAATCCACTAATCCCAACAGGTGGACTGTCTTGGGCCAACAGTGCTTTCAAGGGGTTGGTGTGTAAAATGGACAGATTCAACCTCTTTATCTCCCACTTTCCTAACCAGGGATGACTTAGGTTAATCCTCTTTCTTCCTTCTCCCAGCTCGATTACTTTGATCTTAGAAAATTTCTCTTACGTGTCATCCTTTTCTTCCTTTCAGTTCCTGCTTAGTTATATAAGGAGAAATATTGCTCCTGCTTTTTCCTCTATTCCTACTCTTCTCATTTTCTTTGTTCCAATAGTGAACCCGAAAATGACGTAATGATTATTGGTAATCATTACTTCCTCTCTCAAGGAAAAGGCAGGTTTTGAAATGGAATTTGATATATGGTATTTCATTGAATCTAAGATGCCACTGTTTGGGAAATGCACCATTATTATATGGACCACAAAGAAAGAAAATATGAATGTCATAAAATCAATGCTGTCAATATCTAAAGCCCTAGAAAGTATTCTGAAGATGCTTTCAGAATATTGTAGGCTAAGTTGCCCTTTACCTTAAGCCAGTGATGAATCATAGCATCACTAGTAGTAGGGACCAACAGACAATATAAAATACATGCTTGTTAATAATTCTTGCCCTCTGTTTTTAACCTAACTCAATCAAGTCTTTAGATCTATCTTCCAGTTTACAGGAAATACAAGGAATAGAGGAACTGGTTAGATCACACTATGTGGAAGCAATTAGACACAGCCAGAAGGTGAGACATTCAACAAGGCTTGGCCCCAGCTTTTCAGTAAGTCAATGTCTTGGGGAAAACAGGGCAGTTGGGGAGACCATTCTGGATTCAAAGAGACTTATGAGACATAACAGTCAAATATGAGATATGATCCTTTATTGTATCCTAGAGTGAACATATCAGCTGTAAAAGACCTTTTTTTGATAATAGAAAAAATTTGAATATGAACATTGTATTAGGTGATATTAGAGTGTTATTTTCTTAGGTGCAATCATGTGGTTTGGTAGAAAAATGTCCTCATATTTTATATGTTACTTTGCTTTTAGTTCTTAACAATATACTTCGAAAATAATAAAGCCTTTCACCAGGTTTCCAGTTTTAATTTGGTAAATACAATGATACACAGAACAAAATCATGTAAATGTCATAAAAAAGAAATGAGGCTCAGGAGACAAGTGCAGTCTGTAGACGTATTAAAGTGTCAAATTCATCAGGAATGTCTCTAAAGCAATCAGAGAAGAACCCTCAGAAATCATGAACCTCAAGTTGGAAGGGAGGGTAAGTGTGCTCAAACATCAGGTAGGAAGTATGTGGCCCTTGTGCTGTCACTCCCCATGTAATAGATGTTGCTAATCATTCATGGCTTTCCTTCCTCTTTAGGAAGTGGGGCCACTGAATCCTTTTCAATGGTATTCTCTGCAGCCACTACCAATTGATAACTTGTTGGCACTTGCTGTGAAACCTGTTTTCCCATCTCTCAGTAAAACTTGTTCATTGCACAGAAGAGGAAGCTGAGGCAGGGTGGTCTAGTGGAAAACTTTGGGGACACATGAGTTAAAAAAATTCGCAGAGTTTCTTCAATGTGAGAATACTTTTTTATGAGCTAACAAATGTTTAGTGTGAATTTTATTAGTTTATAAAATAGAATTTTGTAATTTTGTTTGGAGATGAGTATTGGTTTAGAAGATTCCTTTTTCTATGCAATTGTACTCGAGATCTCAAGATTCACACAATGTTGAACCAAGGAGATTGAAGTTAGAAATAATATCAAAGTTGAATGCTTTTAAGTTACATGTATTGAAAACAGTGAATTTAATATTGCATCACTGAATTTTCTTTTAAAAAATGTATTGGGTCTATAACTTGTCTTAAAAACAGTTGGTTTTATGTCAGCATTTAAGTTTTTTAAATTGATATTTGATTATTATATTTAATCTTTAATTCCCCAAATGTATTACTTTTAACAGCAGAATTAACATTTTTTAAAAAAAGGTGATTTAATAGTGAATTTTTGTGGATGTACTGCATTATTGGGATTTGGCAGCTTTGAACTTCCTCTTCAGGGCTTTCCAGAGCACCTCAGACTGCAAGCAGTTCTTGACAGGGTAATATATTTTATTAGTTAATAACCTTGAAATGAGCTAGGTTGTGTCCTTCTTTAGCAGATTTAGCTGGTGCTAGTCACACTGGTGGGGAGTAGACTAGTTGAGAATCAATATTCTTTAGCACATTTATATTAGAGTATTTTGGGAAAGATTTATATTCTATGTATTGTCCTTTAATGATCTAATAAAAATACTTATTTGGGACTGATTGGTAAAGATTAAATACACACAGAAAACTAAGGTCAGTTACCCATGGGGGAAAAAAGTGTAGAACACATAGAAGTTTGATTTACAGTTGGTTAGTGGTTTAGTTTGTTCGTATTACAGATATATTACGAAGGAACAGCAGTAATAACAAAACGCTGGACTCATGTAGGGTTGTGGTTCTGTGAAAGTGAGATGCTGTACAACATAATAACTTAAAAAATCTTTACAACTGTAAGGTTTTTGTTTTTGAATATGAATGAAATATAGGATTTCTATAAGTCTTTGGGAATGTTCAAACAATTGTTTCAGGTTGTTTTGGATTTTAGTTTTAAAACATGTATTTATTTTTTTGGAAGGGCGTGATAGTTTATTTGAAAAAGATTACGCCGTACTGATCGTGGTGATCAGCATACACGTTATGATGGCTTTTTTGTTGAATATTAGCAATGTGGTATTTTTGTATGCTGAAATGCTTTGATAGGATCAAGCTCTTTATAGAAATAAAGAGACCTTTTCAAATGGAAGTGGACTAGTCACCCCACAGAATTAATTTAATCCTCTTATGAATCAGTGGCATTATAGTATAATATAGTAAGAAAAAGCAGAGTTCTTTCATAAATAAGCAACTTGAACTTATATTTCCTTGTATTTTGGTCTTCAGTTTTTCTATATTTAAGCTGTACCCATCCTGGGCAAAGCACCGTCATGGAAAACCTCAGATGATTTCCATGCTGCTATTCCTAAAATGTGGATTTTCTCTACCTGTGTTCTACTACCACTTTGCTTTCCTGGCTCAGTTCACACTGTACTAGTCCTTTTATTTCTAGTTTTGCTTCTCCAAATGATTGCTCATTTTCTGTGAATTCACAAGTTGTTAACATGTCTCATAGTTGTCTTTTGCTAGGATCTGTGAACAAGTGATTCAAGCCATTTTCTCTTAAGATGATTGTATATATTTTTAGTCCATTTTTCCCTATTATTAGATTATTTAGGTTGTAAGTATTTTTCACATCACTGATACTTATAAGTTATTTATTCCTAAATGTTATTGATAGCGTGGTCATTGGAAGTAGGAAAATTATTCCATCTGTATAGTTTTGCAGGGCCCTTATGTTGCTTAAAATACTTATTTCAGAAAATGTTTCTCTTCAAACATATGCTCAGTATTTAGGACATAAATCACAAATTTGTTGATTGATTAGTTTTTAGAAATTAGATTTCACTTGACAAAATGGCAGTGATGGAAGATAAGTGGACCAGCCTTATAAACTTATTTGAAAAGACTAGACATTTATTTTGACATATTTACTTCAATCTTTAATACTTGTGAGAAATTCCCCTTTGAAAAAGTTTCACTGCCTTTAAACAGTTTGAAATGAGGATTTCTTTCTTTTTTAAAGATGGACTCTAGCTTCACATTTTTGCATATCTTAGGTATAATTATGCAAATGAGGATTTTTTCATATTAATTTTGATTATTTAGACACAATTTTCTCTTAAATATTTGTTTATTTTCAGGTATATTTGCTTACTTAAACTACCACGTTCCTCGCACAAGACGAGAAATCTTGGAGACCCTAATCAAAGGCCTTCAGAGACTGGAGTACAGAGGATATGATTCTGCTGGTATTTCCTTTTAAAAAATATTATGGGTTTTGCATAATTCTTGAATCTAAATAGAGAGATTTTGTGTTTGTTTTAGGTGACTAGATTCTTTAGTAATGTCTATTTTGTTGTTTCAGGTAAATCTGAAATCTGGAGAATTTTTTTAAATTAATTATTTTTATTGAGGTAACATTGGTTTATAACATTATATAAATCTCAGGTGTATATCATTATATTTCGATTTCTGTGTAGACTACATCACATTCACCACCCAAAGACTAATTACCATCCATCCCTGAACACATGTGCCCTGTCACCCCTTTCATCTTCCTCCCTCCACCCTTCCCCTCTGGTAACCACCAATCTAATTTGAAGAATTTTTGTATTTTATCATGTTTAAAGGGTTGGTTCATGTAATTTCAACAGTATTACCTTTTTTTTTTTCGTGAGGAAGATCAGCCCTGAGCTAACATCCATGCCAATCCTCCTCTTTTTGCTGAGGAAGACTGGCCCTGTGCTAACATCTGTGCCCATCTTCCTCCACTTTATGTGGGACGCCGCCTCAGCATGGCCTGACAAGCGGTGCGTCCATGGGCGCCTGGGATCCGAACCGGGCTGCCAGTAGTGGAGCGCTCGCGCTTAACCGCTAAGCCACGGGGCAGGCCCCTCAACAGTATTACCTTTTATGTAGAGTATTGCTTCTTATGGGTATCTTCTTCTTTTGTTAATAATGTTACTATAAAAACATAAATCACCTGGAGCATTTTCATTATAGAACAAAGTTCTTGAAGGCCTTACTCTATAAATTATCTTTTTTTCTTTCCTGTAACTTTTATTTCTTTTTCTCTCTGGATTTTAAGCTTTTGGCATATAAACTTGCCTAAGATTCTTCTGTCTTAAATAAATGACAAAGCAAATAAAAATAACTTTTTGTCAACTTTGTTCTACTCTAGCTCCTTCCCTTAACTGTGTCAGGGGTCCCCCAGGCCACACTCAGATTCAGTGATTTCCTAGGAGGATTCAGCATATATTTATTACATGATTTATTATAACCAAAGAATACAGTGTAAAATCAGCAAAGGGAAAAATTGCGTGGGGTGAAGTCTGGAGGAAACCAGGCACGAGCTTCTAAGAGTTCTCTCCCAGTGCAGTCACATAGGATGCACTTAATTTCCCTGGCAAGTTGTGACAACATGTGTGAAATGTTGTATACCAGGAAGCTCATTAGCAACTCAGTGCCAGAGGCTTTTACGGGGGGCTGGTCACGTAGACATCCTCTGCCTAACATGTACCAAAACTCCAGACTCCTAAAAAGGAAGCAGATGTTCAGCATAAGCCACATTGTTTGCACCAACAGTTCAGGTGCAGTGAGCCATTTTCGTAATCAGTTAGGCTAGTGGGAACCCTCCTGAAATCCAAGTTCCCAGATGCCAGCCAAGGGCCAACTTTACAAGCAGGCCTTTCTAAGCATAGCAGTATCAGACCTACTGTGTTAACTCTTTTCTATACACTTACCATTGCCAGATATAATGGGCATTTATGTTCCATGACTTTCTTCAGATAATGGAAAGTCAGTTCCTCAACCCCTTTGTTCTTAAAATTCTCTCCTTTCTTAGCTTCTCTGACAACACGTCTTCTCGTTCTCTTCCTAACACACTGATTATTTCTTTTCTGTCTGCTTTGGGGCTCCTTTTCTTTCACCTATTGCTTAAACATTAATGTTCTCTAAGATACTTTCCTAGGCCCACTTTTCTTACTTGGTATCTTGATGGGTGAGCTCTGACTTCATCAACCTCCTATGTGTTGGTGACTTACAATCTGGATGTATTTCCGAAGCTGCACATGTGTATTTCCCACTGCCTCCTAGAAATCTCTCTCTGATAAATTTCTCCCTGGATAAATTTCTCCACTATATTGTAAACTTTGCATGTGCAGAATTGAACTGAATACACTCCAGTTCTCACCCCACTCCACACTCTTTTCTTTCTGTGTTCCTTTTATCAATAATCATTCAACGAGTTTTGGCCTAGGAGGTATCCCAGACTTCTGCTTTCTCACTTTACTTGCAGTCAGTTCTACTTCTCAGTATCACTTATCTCTGTCTTCATTACCACTGTTTAGTTCAGGCCCTCCTCATTTGTGCTTTGCTATGGCTGTAACTTCTGACAGCTGGTTTCTTCTTCTTTCTCCCCCTCCAGTCTATCCTCTATACTGTTTTCAAAGAGAGTTTTCTAAACGTTTTTGCCATGTGATTTCTCTACTTGAAACTACTCAGTGCTTTTCCAATACCTTCAGGGCACCCTTTCCAAATTCCTTAGGAGCTTAAGTAGGTTCTCAAGAGATGTGTTCCCTGACATTCTCTTTTTATCCCCTTTCTGAGTTAGATGCCCATCTTCTGCCTTTCTCCATTGTACTCCAGTTGTAACCTGTATTACTTTTATTATAACCTAAAGCACAATCATTTTTTCCTTGTCTGTCTTCTCAGTAGACTATTAGGAATTTGAGGACAGGAACTGAGTTATTTTCATTTTCTCTCTAGGAACTGTCATGGTTCTTGACACATGGTAGGCTTTCAGTAAATGTTGAATTGATAAATGAATTAATTAGATGAAAGTATTTTTTAATTAAAAATTTTGCCTCACAATGATAATTTAAGTAATAGCCAGTTTCTAAATCTTGCTTTTCTACCTCTTAATGATTTAGGTGTGGGATTTGATGGAGGCAATGACAAAGATTGGGAAGCCAATGCCTGCAAAATCCAGCTCATAAAGAAGAAAGGGAAAGTGAAAGCACTGGATGAAGAAGTTCACAGTAATGTACTTAGTTTGGTTTGTGTCCCCCTCCCCTTCTCTTCCCTTTCCCTTTGCCACTAAATCACCTTCTCTCTCATATTTTGGGGCCCATTTTAAGATAGTGCTACTTAAAGTTGAAGAGAAAGAAGAAAAGTAGTTTTGTACTGTCTGTACTGGTTTAAAATGTACTTGAGCTTCAAAAGTGATCATATTAACTAGGGAAGGAAATTATTTAGGTGCATTGTGTTCAGAGCAAGCTCAGTATCCTCAAATGAAGTAGCCACAATTCCTGAGGAAGGGCCGTTCCTAGGAGAAAGGCATTTTTAGTGGTGCCCTTATTCATGTATCTTCACTTGGTTGTTGTCTTCACTTTGGATTAAATGCCTAGTTTAGATGTATAGTAAGTCTGGATGTTGCACCCTTTAGTAGGTCTGATATAATCAGGTAAGTATCATGTTTTTCCTCACGATTTTCTTATTTCCTTGGCATAAAGTAGTTGCCCAGAGATACATGCTCCATTAAGGAGGATATACTTCTCAGTATTTAGCTCATAACGTTAGGCTTATACATTTTATTTTTTCATAAGAAACTTGAAAACAAAACAAAAACTTTGAAGTAGATTGATTGAAAAAACATTTTAAAAACTCCCCACAAAAACCAGGAAACAAGAGTTTTTTTATGTACTTGCTCAAACGGATACCATCATAATCATTGTCAAAGGAGTGCAAGTAGAAGAGGAAAATGATAGATTTAGTCATTTTTTTTCATATAAACCAAATATTTAGCTTTGTAATAGTTGTTTAAAAAATTAAATCAATACTTATTTTGTGTATCTTGTGGGTAAGATTAGCTAGGGATAAAGCAGGCACCCAAATAATTATACTTCAAAAACTATAGTAGAAGTATTCTGTCTACTTCATATACTACGTCCTGTATATGAGGCTGAGTATAGGAGATTCTATAGGAGAGAATAAATAAATTGCTGTAATTCAGGGGAGAGAGAGTTCCCACAAGTTGGGGAGACTTGGCATACATAGGGAATGGCTACTGATTATATTTGGGCAGTGAAGGTGAGAAGGAAGAATCTTCAGAGTGGAATTGCTAGGGTAAAGATAAGAAGAGGGAAGGCAAGTTTGTTGATGGAGTGGTAGATAGTCCTTTTTATCTACATTATTGGTAGACAGGTGTGGGAGGCTAGAAAGGTAGATTATGACTAGAATCACCATGTTTGAATGTCAGCATATTGAAACATACCTCCTCCTTTCCTGCCGGAAAGTCAGGAAGTAGTGGAGAAATGAGAATTTATAGACATTGCTGGTGAATTTGTAACTGATAAATCACTGTGAAGAACAATCTAGCAATATCTAAAGGGGAGATGCCTGTATGCCTATGACCAAGCACTTTCACTCTTGGGCATATATTTGAAAAAACACCGTGGACGAGGAGACATAACAACAAGATTGATTGCAGCAAAATTTAGAAACAACTTAAATGTCTACCAGTAAGGGAATAGGAAAAGTAGTTGTAATGCTAGTGAATGACCATGTGTAGCTTGTGAAGGGAGTGCACTGGATCTGGTTCTGCATGTGGGGACATAGATAAATCCCGGGAACCTAATGTTGAGTGAAAAAAGCAACCTGCAGAAGGATATGTAAAGTATAGGACCATTTAAAAAACGCAGAAGAATACTATCATTTATGGACACACATTCGCATAATAGAAGTTTAATGGTACAGGTGGGAAAGCTGTACATCAACTTGAGAATCCTCTGGGAGGAATGGGATAGGGCAGGGTATAAAGGAGGTATCAACTGCATTTTTTACATTTTAGATTTTAAAAAAGATCTAAAGCACAAATGGTTAGATGTTAGCATTTGTTAACTCTGGGTATGGATATTTGGATGTTTGTAATGTTTATTTTATTATTCCCAGCAAGTTTCAATATGTTTGACCTGTTAAGACAAAAGGGAAGGAAGACATCTCAGAAAATAAAAGGCCATTAGATTGGTAGAATAAGAGGTTATTGGCAGCTCTAACATTTATTGATTGCTTTCTGGGTTCCAGGCACTCTTGTAAGTGCTTTGCATGTGTTAACTCATTTATTCCTCACTATAACCCATGAAGTAGGGAAAATTATCATTTTCATTTTGCAGATGAATGAGGAAATTCAAATATAGAGGAGTAGGTACTGTCGTTAGATGGTGTCGGCAGTAAAGGCAGTGAAGTTTGGGGCAGAGGCAGGGCTACTGTTCTAGAGAGTGACAAAAATTAAAGATTTTCTTGCGGTTTATATCTTAAAAAAGATGTAAAACACAAATGGCTGTACGTTAACTTTTGTTATCTCTGGGCATAGGTATTTGAGTATTATTGCCAGGAAATTTAAATGTTTGAACTAATGGAAAAAAAGAGAGAGAGAAGGAGAAAAGGTATGCAGAGGGTAAGAAGCCTTGGGTAGGAAGGTGGTGGGAAGATAGAAGATCAAATAAGGAAGTTATTGAGGTATTATAGCTCTGAAATGTCAAGGCACAAGTAGGGAGTTAGCCTTTATAGGAGTCAAAGGTAAAAGAAAAGCTAGGTAAAACAGAGTTATGAGGTGAGGGGAAAGAGCTGAGTGAAGTGGAAATTGAGGGACTATAGGTAGGACTGAGGCATAAGGAGAGTAGAAAAGACGTCATGAGTGCTTGGGGAATTCAGTGAGCTGTCAGCTTAATGAATAAGGAGCATGGATCCATGTTCCTTAAAAGGCAGCAGTGAAATAGGTTTGGTAATTACCACAGATTTGAGATGGACTCAATTTATAGAATTTTGTGACTTTCTTCAGTGTTGCTTGTCAGCTTAGGTGGCTGGAGGAGAAGAGAAAACTGAGTGTGGGGGTTATCTAGACTTAAGGTTCAACAAAGGGCTTTAGAACAGAGGTAACAGATTGAATAAGGAAGAGTCAAGGATTGGAAGTCATGATTTTCTTTCTTTCTCTCTTTCTCCTCTTTCTCCTCTTTCTTTTTTTCTTTTCTTTCTTTCTTTCTTTCTTGAGGAAGATCAGCCCTGAGCTAACATCCATGTTAATCCTCCTCTTTTTGCTGAGGAAGACTGGCTCTGAGCCAACATCTATTGCCAATCCTCCTCCTTTTTTTTCCTCCAAAGCCCCAGTAGATAGTTGTATGTCATAGCTGCACATCCTTCTAGTTGCTGTATGTGGGACGTGGCCTCAGCATGGCCGGAGAAGCAGTGCGTCGGTGCACGCCTGGGATCCGACCCTGAGCCGCCAGTAGCGGAGTGCGCGCACTTAACCGCTAAGCCACGGGGCCGGCCCGTCATGATTTAATTTATAAAATGTATGAAATATTTGTTGTGAGGAATGTCCTTATTGTCATAACAATGATTTTTTTTCTTCTTAGACGTTAGATAATATTCCTTTTGCAGCAGTGAAATGGGTGTGGTAATTACCATGAATTTGAAATGATTCAATTTACAGATTACTTTCTCCAATATTGCTTGCCAGCATGTGGGGAGAGATACTGCTTTAATTATAGTTAGCCTAAAAAACTAGTCAGATATTTTCATTGCTTGCATTAGCCTGTTAAATAGTGATTAACACTAATCTTTTACTTTTCTGGAGGTCATTTATCAGGTAATGTTAATTATTTAGAACACAGGTAAGCTAGGGAAGAATACATTGATGATTTTATCCATTCATTGATTGAGCCATCCAATAAAAATTTGAGTATCTGCCCTATAGAGATCTTAGTGCTTAGGATTCAAAGATAATAAGGCAATCTATTGCTTTTGTAGAACTCAAATTCTGATGGAAGCCAGGTTGACAACATCACAAATGTAATAGTACAGCAGAGTATCCATTGTGGTTTTAATCTTAGGCTCTGGAGTCACAGATTTGGGTTTAAATCCTAGCTCTACTTCCTGTTAGCTATTAGACCTACAAGTTCTGTGACCTCTTTGAGCCTCAATTTCTTTATCTGTAAAATGGGAGACGTTAGTACCCACCTCACAGAGTACTGTGAGGATTCAATAACAAAATGAGTACTTATTGAGTACCTATTATATACCAGCCATTATTCTAGGCCCTGAGGACAAAACAGAGAACAAGATAGGCAAACCCTCTGCCCTGATGGAACTTAGTGTTTAGTGAGATGGCCAGATAACAAACAAATATATAATGTTAGATAGTGATTAGCGAAGGAAAAGTATGGGAGAGGTGACATTTGAGCAGAGACCATGTGATTGTCTGAAAAAGGGAATTCTAGGCAGAGGGAACACCAAGTACAAAGACCGCACGTGGGCTTGGCCTGCTTTCAGCTGAAAGTCACTGGGGCCAGAGCACAGGAAGTGAGGGGGAGAGTGGCAGGAGATGAAGCTAGAGAGGTGGCTGAGGGCTAGGTCATGTAGGGTCTTAAGGATGATGGGTTTTACTATGCATGTCCTGGGAAACCATTGAAAAATCTTGTTTAGGGGAGTGACATGATAAAACTTCTGTTTTGAAAGGATCCCTTTGGTTGGTGTGCAAAGACTAGATTGTACAGAGGGAAGATTGGACACAGGGGGAGCAGTTAGGATTCTGTTGAAGTAGTCCAGGTGAGAGATGATGGTCACGTGGGTCACAGTGGTGGGGATAGTGTGGTGAGAAGTCTTTACAACCTAGCATGAAGTGAGTTCTCAGTAAATGTTAGCTGTTAAAAGGTGGGTTGAGAGCTTTGAGGAGTAATTGGAGTGGGGTGGGAGATGCAGATGGAAAGGTAGGTGGGGGCCAGATGGTGAAGGACCTTGTATGCCATAAAAAGGTGTGGGAGCTTTATCTTGAGAAAATGGTTGTCTTGTTGTATGTTAGAATTTCAGGGTCTTCTTGCGGATCCCTGTGAGTGGGTTTAGGATGATTCATATGTGCAGGTAGGGATACAAGCCACTTTTTTAAGCAATGTAAGTCTATTCAAGGATTTTAACCTTGTTTCCTAATCAGATTTGTGTTTTAGAATGACCTCTGATTAGCCAGTATAAAACCCACAAAGACCGTGTGCTCATGTGCATGGACTTTCCTATTCAGATTTCCGAGCGGTTTGTTCTTAATTTAGACCTAATTCTGACAAGCTTTGTTAGCTGGTTTCTTAGCCAAAGGAATTTTATATTTAGGAAATTAGAAGGGGGGGCATTACTAGTATGTAACTAGAACTGTCCATTTTTTTCCTGAAAGAAGCAAGAAGAGATAGCTCATAGGGAAAAGGAATTAGAAAGCTGCTTTTCAAGATAAGGGACCATCAGCCTATAACCCCACACTTGCATAGTGTTGCTCTGAAAGACCTAGTCTTTGATTTTGGAAGCTCTCCATAATTGCAGTTTATATTGTGAGATATGTTTACATTTACTGGGGACCAAAGAAATTGCAATCATAAGATTGTGTGACATTGAGAAAATGAATTTATTTTTACATGTCTAATTAAAATGATACTGATGTTTTTCAAGGCAAGGATTAAATATAGATTTTTAAAAATCACATTAACTCTTTTTGTCCTTAACTTTTGAGTTTGAAAATTTTCAAGCCTCCAGAAAAGTTGAAAGAATAGTATATTAATCACCTATAATATGTCATCTAGCTTTATCAAATGTTAACATTTTTTACATTTGCTTTATCTCTTTGTATACATTTTTTTAGTTGTTTGTTATTGGAACCATTTGCCCTAAATATTTCAGCTGCGTTAACTTCTCTAAGTCTTTTAATTACTATTTTGAATATGCCTGATCTTCAGTTTTGATAATTGTGTATTCCAGGTGAGCAACACTGTAATAATTATATTTAAATATAGCTTATAGCATTACCTTTACAACATGATTTAATATTGGAATTTTTCATTATATCTTCTTCAGAACAACAGGACATAGATTTGGATATAGAATTTGACGTACACCTTGGAATAGCTCATACTCGTTGGGCAACACATGGCGAACCCAGTCCTGTCAATAGCCATCCCCAGCGCTCTGATAAAAATAATGGTATGGACAGATTTTCCGTGCTTTGGAATGATTGTAGAGGGCCAATAATGGGAGAAGAATGAAGGCTCTTATGTTTTCATTATTTTAACCTGTAAAATTTCATATATATTCAGAAGTAGAGAGAATACAGAACCTGATATATCCATCACCCAGCTTTAATGTTTATCAGTACACGATCAGTTGTGTTTATCTCTACTCCCCCATGAAGATTATTTTGGAAGCCAATAGATATCGTATAGATAGATATATCACAGACATATGATATCTAGTTAGATATCAAAGCGTTTAATTTGTGGCTATATAAGTGTGTATCTCTAAAAGATAAGGACTTAGTAGATTGATGTGTCTCTTAAGAGACCTCTCCCTTTCTCTCCTTTTACTTTGCAGTTTACTCTTGTTTGTCCTACGGAGTTTCCTACAGTCTAGATCTGGCTAATTGCTTGCATCCCGGGTGTCATTTAACATGTTTCTCTGTCCCTTCTGTTTATTATAAATTGGTATGATGTTTGTTAACATCTAGAGGTGTATAACATTTGGATAGTTTTCTTTTTGTACTTTTAGCGGCCATTGATGATCATTGCCAAGATTAATTATTTCTTTAGGGGTTGTAGAATGGTGATAGTCTAATACTACCATTCCTTCTTCATTTATTATCTCAAATACTTTTATAAAGAGAAACTTCCCCACATCAACTGCTTGGTTACCTCGAGGTACAGATTATTTAGGAAAGGCAGGATAAATGTTTGATTTTCACCCCCCCTTTATTTACCATTTTTCTAAAATGAAGTGGTTCTAATGTTCTAAGAACAACGAGTTCCTTTTTTTAATTTTTATTATAAAGTCATGGATTTAAAATATCTTATTTGTTTAAAAACACTGAAGTAATTTTCTATATTGATGCACAAATTTTCCTGTCTTTGGTCATTGGGAGCTTTTTTATGTTAGCTTCTGAGTGCTTTTGATGTGACCTCAGTAGGCTCAATAGTCTTTGTTAATTTTCTGGTAGACCAAGATGTTCCAGGTTCATCTAATCCTGCCCCAGACCTGGAATCAAAATCAGCTGTTTCTCTAAGGAGCCCTAGTTCCTTTTGGTAGAAATGATATTTAAAGATTATAAACCAGGTCCTAGAAATGCTCATTGCACCTAGGCATTTTCAGTGGGCAGAGTTAGGAAATATGTGTACCTCTGTGTGTATGCGTGCACACACGTATACATTTCCCAACATATGGTCTATCCTAGTGAATGTTCCATGTGCGCTTGAGAAGAATGTGTAGTCAGCTGTTTTTGGATGGAGTGCTCTGTATATGTCTACTAGGTCCATCTCGTCC